GGGATCGAGAGGTGAACAAACAGCCTTTGCCTTTCCAAGTGCGTCCTGAGTGTAGCCTGGACGGCGGTGGTATCACCATAGTGAAGCAGACAGGCTTGGAAACCTCAGGGCTCAACACACAAAGTTTTGGGGTGTCTCATCCATCTTCTTAATGCATTTCCCAGATTTTTAGTCTAGATTGGAATTTAAGCCCAAACTTTCCTCACTGCACCAGTGATGCTGGAAGTGAAAACAGAACCAAACCAGAAATCTCAGTAGACACGAAGCAAATGTTGTCCTGCTGCTATCCTCCCAGTTCCAACCGGTCTAACCAGCAGCTTATGGGGATTGTACCCCACGGGGCTGTAAATGGAGACAGTTCTTGCCTGCTATTCCCCTGGCAGGTGCTCAGTTCTTCCTCTGAGGAACACTAGCTATAATGTCACTCTGGGGCCTGTCCATTGAGGACAAAACACTCGTGCTATCTCTAGTCTTTACTTGGCTGATTGTTTTGCCTGTGATCTGCCCTGCTGCCGGGAGCAAAACAGCATGAACTTAAGAGATCGCTCCAGGCCCAGCCTTTGGGGACACAGTTCCCACCTGAGGGATGGGTTGTTTTCCATGTTCTTTTTGGTGAAATCCCCTGGGGTCTGGAAATTATAGATGGAAGCAATTAGCTGAGCACAATTTATTACAAATTATAGTGCAGGCCACAAAAATAAGGAACTGTAGAGAGGATCAGGAGCAATGTCTGTGCCAGCTGAGAGGCCGGAGTCCACAACAGACGTGGTGAAAGACATGAATTTCTGAGCCAAAAAACTCATCAGCAAGGTCCCCAGGAAAAACAAGTAAAAATAGTATGTCACGAATGCTCTATGTTTCCCTTTTGAAGTAATGCTTTGTTTCTTTCCCTGCAACCCAGTAGGCTAGACATTTGAAAAAAAAGCATAGCTGAGATTTCTGACATCCTGATTCCAGAAGCAGATAATTTAAGAAAATCAGTAAATACTATATCCACAAAAGTGTTGCCAATACTGCCATCACTTCCCTCCTCACTTATAAACCATTTCTCTAGTAAATTTTGACTAGAATAATTTAATCAAATGCATACCTCATCTAAAGTTATTTGAACCAATCTAAACTGTAAGAGAAGCATGGAGTTTACAAAGAGGACTGGAGCACAGAGATCCTCAGGGTCTCTTTGGTTTTCTGTTGACAGATGGTGTGTCAGTGAGCAAATCCATGTGTTTTTCTGCCTTGCTGTCAGTCTCTGGTATAATTTCTATGCATTTTGGGAGGGTGGAAACACAGAGAGATCCCTGGCATTCCATCAGCTCTATGGAGGGAAGGAGAGAGATGATTACGGGTTTGTTTAGAGACATGCATGGTACCAATTTCCTGTGTGGAAAGACCGTAACACAGAAAACCAAGCTTCATATTTTGCACTAAGTTGGCCTGGGAGCAGAGTAGCAGCCTCTCCCAGGCACACAAGGTAGAAAACCCTCAGCACCGAGGAGGGCTATAGGAGGACTCTGAGGGACCTCCCGGCAAAGGCAGCCCGTGTTCAGTGAGCCAGCAGTCGTTCCCTAGTGAAACAAATTCTCCACATGGCTTCAGTTTCCTTGTTTTGTTCCCCAGGGCTATCTTTCTGTATTGGAAACTGCTGAGAGCCTGACAGGCTCTCTAGATATCTTATTTATTTCTGGACAAAAAGCTAGGGCAATAAGGATGGTTCCTAAATATGCTTCCAACCTCAAAGCTGGTTAAAGGGTTGGGGCTGCAGCACAGCACACAGGAATGCAGATGTAGCTGACTGCAGTTCTCAGGGTTGAATCTGACTGGCTGGTTTCCATGCCCTCAGCACAGATTTGGGGGCATAGTCCTTTTCTCATTGGCTTTACGAGAGAAGCGTTACCCCATCCCTAAGTTAAAAGGGAAAGCAAAGAGGTTTTTACTTCCTGAAGTAGACTGCATGCACTGACCATGGCATCTGAAAAGGTAAGAGCTTGGACAGGGTGAAAGGGTCTGTGAAAGCTGCTTTGGTGCTAGAGTTCAGGTAGAGATGAGCTGTCTTTCCTCTTGGCATTTACCTGGAACAGCAGTAGCTCTTCTTATTTGGAAAGAGCCCTTACCCTGCCCTGCATGGCTGGAAAAGCCATCTCGTGCCACACAAATACCCAGTGCAGGTGCTTGGCATAATCAGTGGGGAATTTCCTTAAAAATCCAAGGTAGGATAAAAGTTAGCAGCATCTGATAGGTACAGAGAGGGAAGCTTTGTAGGGGATAATTTTAAGGTTGCTTATGCATTACTGGAAACAGGTGGAACTAAATATTGAGAGGGCCAGCATGAAAGACAGGGACACTACCTGTATGCCCAAAACAGGAACAGTCACTTTCAGAAAGGAGCCCTCTCTGCCCTGTCTCACAGTTCCTGAAATGCCTTCTGTTCATGTATTGTTCTTATATGGTGTTTCCACAATATAACCACTTTAGCTGTTTTTCTTTTCTCAGCCGATACTTTATAGCTATTTCCGAAGTTCCTGCTCTTGGAGAGTGAGAATTGGTAAGATCCAGTGTTGACCTCTCTTTTATTGTTTTGGTGTTATTGCAGTATCATCCCCTTCACTAACCCAATTAATCAGTCACTTATTAAGAGAGAAATCAGCAAACATGATCCTGGAACAGCAAGGCATTTCCACCCCCTTCTGTGGAGTGGGAGGGAAGGGAGTACCACAGCCTGCCTGGAGCAGGGGGAAGGGAGCAGAACAGATGGAAGGGCTTCATGCAGCCTGCAGCTAGTTAGAGGGAATGACTCCTTTTGTAAAGCTAACATGATGCAGATGGCTGATTCTTTCACATTATCTAGAAGGGCCCTGTCCTCTGTTTTCACACTGATACTGCCTCAGACTCTGGTCTGCCCAGGTCTTGAGAGCTAAGGAGGGCTGGGAATGGTCCCTACTTGGACTGAGACAGTCTTAAGCAAGGGTTCGCAGGTGAGCACAGGCCCCCCTGCCCTGTATAAGCACCATCATCAGGGGCTTTGCTGCGAAGAGTGGCAAAGCTTATTTTGAGTAATGCAGGGGTTTTGCCACAACTGATCTTTAGTGCTTTGGTCCTTCACTTGCCAGAGCACTATCTTCTCAGTGGACTTGGGCCACCTTTCTTGAAGAATAAGGTTGGTTTTGGTTTTAAAGCCATTCTTTTTTTCAAATGGAGATGGTAAGATTTTCCTGAGCTCATTACCAATGAAACTGGTGTGCCTGTCTGAAGCTGTACATTCTCTTCTCCCAAGCACTGGCTCTGAAAGGGATTGCCTATGATGTGGTGCCAGTGAACCTCCTGAAGGATGGGGGACAGCAGGTAAGGATACAGCTGCCATTGCTCTCTCCAGGGGTACTGAACTTGGGGATCATTAGAAGAGTTGGGATCAGCACTAAAAGTTCATGGGGAAAGTCACTGAATTCCTTACTGCTTCTCTGTGATTAATACTTGTGTTATCCTGGCATGCAGGATAGAGGGAGATGCCTGCAGGAGGCTGTCCTGGTTTTGGCTAGGACGGAGTAATGTAACGTAAGATGTAATCAATCTGCCAGTCCTCTCCATATTTATATTTTAACCAACATCCTTCATAACAGAGGGATTTTAACTGCTTGGCTTGCTTAATTGCAGCACAAGTTTCACATTCATGGATAACATCTGTGCAATAGTGTCCACAGTTAAATCCACCCCTCCATCACAAGCCCATCTATATGTTGCATTTCTTCCTTGATGTTACCTGAGGTGTCATGGACCCAGCGAGCTAAGAATTTTTCACCCTTATGTTGCCAGTCTACATCCACCTAAGACACTTTAACCTTAGGAGCCCAATCTACCTGTTGGTTGTTTTGATGTTCTTCAGTGGCCTGACTCCTGGGTACATGAGCATCTAGTGGGGGTCCTTAGCTGGGAGTAGTGCAGCTGGTAGTATCACCAGCTCAATGTGCCAGTATGGGCTAGGACGGAGTTGAAGAACTAGAACTGTAATAATGACACTGCTGCAGTACTACCCATCCTGGGCTTTGCATTGATGGTTTATCAAGAAGTAAGGCAGCCTGGCCTTGGATGAAGTGATCCCTAAGCCCCAGTGAGAGCTTGCTGTAGGCTAATAGTATAGCATAACTTACTGTAAATATTAGTACTGAGGTAGAGGGAGAAGCCAGGTAAAAAAAAATTAGCTAGGTATATATATATATATAAA